AAACAGAGAATTTTTAAAAACCCAAATTGTATATCATAAGAGATTCTGAAAATTGGCAAGAAGCCAAAACAAAAGGAAAAGATATTGAAGTCCAGAAGATTTCAAAGGGTGGCTTGAGGAAAGGAAGCAAAGCATTATAAAGGTATGTGTGGAGAAATGAAATTAGAGAATAAAAAGGGAAGATCTTGCTCACATTTCTCAAACTGAAAGAACAGAAAAACAAATTCAAGCTTCAAGTTGCAATACTGAGAAATACTATGGGCAATATCTTGAATGACCCAGGAAGCATCAAAAGAAGACAGGGAATACACAGAAACACTCTATCAAAAAGAACTGGCTGACACTGAAATATTTCAGAAGTACTGTAAGATAAAGAGCAAATGAAGTTCAAGTGGCACTGAAAGCATTGGCAAAAAATAAGTCCCCAGAAATAGATGTGATACCAATTGTTATGTTTCAAATGGTAGATGTAGTCCTGGACATGTTCAGTCTAGGCCAGGAAATCTAGAGGACAGCTACCTGGCTGGCTGACAGGAAGAGTTCATATTTGTTTCTATTCCCAAGAAAGGTTATCCAACAAAATGTGGAAATTAATGAACAATACCATTAATACCATATGCAAGCAAAATACTGCTAAAATTCAAAAATGGCAAGAACAGTACAGAGAAAGAGAATAGCCAGAAGTTTAAAAAGGATTTAGAAGAGACCAGGAATGAGGAAGACTTGAAACCCTTGTTTCAGAAGAACAAAGAATATAACCTTCAGTATGGATTGCATCTCAACATCAAGAAAACAAAAATTCTTACCATTAGATAGGTAGGCAACACCATGATAGATGGAGAAAAAATTGCCAGAGATTATCAACACCCTCGTCTTACTTGGATTCAAAGTCAACACCCTTGGTTCCAGGAGCCAGGTGATCAGGAGACACACTGTGCTTCTAAAATCTGTAGTCAGGGACCTCTCCAAATTATTGAGGAGCAATGATGTCAATTTGATTCAGGCCATAGAATTTTCAATCACTTGCTTTGCATCTGAGAGCTGGACAATGAATAAGGCTGAGAGAAGAATTATGGAAGCCTTTGAACTTTGGTGTTAAGAATACTAAATATGGAGTATCTCATGAACTGCCAAAAAAGTAGACAGATGTGTTATGGAGAAGGTGCAGCAAGGGCGCTCCTTGGAGACAAGGACGATGAAGCTTTGTCTCACATCTTTGGGTATGTCGCTAGAAGCAGCTGTTCCTTAGAAATAGAGATCATGGTTGGAGACATGGAGGGAGGGTGAAAGAGAGGAAGACCCCAACCAGAAGGCTTGGCCTAGTGACTGCAGCAACGTGTTTGAGTGTGTTAGAAATTACAAGGATGGCACAAGGTAGGACAGTGTTCAGGTCTGTTATTCATTGGGTGGCTACGAATCCTACTCAACCTGAAAGCACCTAATAACAATAACAAGGTCCAATAAGATCTGTTGTTCAGTTTAATAACTCATGTCCAACCACTTTTTCCCTTGCACTCTGTGTCCTAGCCACATTAGCCTTTCTTCTGTCTTTTAGACACAAACTTCGTCCTGCCTTGGGCACACCCTCTTGCTTTTCCCCCCAAAACCTCATGCGTTTTTTCCTTATGCCACCCAAGTCTCAAGTTAAATACTATCTTCTCTTACCTTTACGTAATCTACAATAGACACCTGGGCACTCCCCATTATAACATTCCATTTTGTTTTTCATCATTCAATGGCATTGCCTTCTTTCTTAATTTTTTTTGGATTATCTGCCTTTATTTGGCCTCCTTGTCTCCATGGTCCACCACTCCATTCCTTGTTCTTGCATGTCTCGTGTGAGGGAAGTGCTGAGTAAATGCTGAATGGTGAACTGTCTCATTCTCTCTTGCATTCTCTTACCTATTGCAAAGTATTTCTGGAAAATTAAGTATTCAACAAGGAAGACAGAATACTTGACACCTCTCAATTATGGTGTTGGCAAAGAATACTCAATGGACATATTGTGGGATTTCATTTATGCACTAGAAGAAGTGCAGCGAGATCATTACTTAGAAGCAAAAACGGCAAGACTTCATCTCATGTATTTTGGATATATTATCAGGAGGAAACAGTCCCTGCAAAGAGCACCATGCTTGGTGGAGGATCAGTGAAAAAGAGGGACGACCTTCATTCAGTGAGATGGAGTAACTGCAGTAACGGCTTTAAGCACAGCGGAGACTGTGAGGAAGATGAAGGATTGGACAGAGTTTCTTTCTGTTGCGTATAGTGTTGCTGAATCAGAGTCGACTTGACAGCGCCTAAACCTACCAGCCCCTACTTTAAAGAAGCAAGTTTATTAAGGTACATCCTGGCTGTATGTCTTGAGACAGATCTGCAGTTCCTGCTGGCACCGTTGGGTTGGTTGCAAATCCTAGCAACCCTATATGTACAACAGAACAAAATCCTGACAAGTTCTTCATCAACTTCACAATCTTTGAGTCCATTTTTTGCAGCCATTGTGTTAGTCCATCTCCTTGAGGGGCTCACCTACTTTCACTGATCCTTTTCGTTGCCAAGTATAACGTCCTTCTCCAGAGACTAGTCCCTTGTAATAACATGTGTAAAGCATCCGAGATGGAGTCTCACCACCCTAGCTTCTCAGGGGTACTCTGGCTGCACTACTTCCAAGACAAATGTATTTATTTTATTTTATTAATTTTAATCAACATTTACAGAGATTTTAGATTTTCTTTTATTCATTGTTGCACTTTTTTCTTTACTCCCCACCCCCAGTTCACTCTTCTTCATTGGTAGACAGATGTATTTGTTCTTCTGGCACCTCATCGTCTGTTCAATATACCAAGTCTGATAAAAATTCTACAATTCTACTTTAGGCTTTTGATCAAGCCATTCCCTGATATCCAAACACTATTCCCCCAAATTTTCACCAAATGCTATCATTTTTAAAGACAACCAGGTGAAAAAAACATACCATGGTCAGTTCATACACTGAAATATTATGCGTCCATTAAAAAGAATGAAGTGCTGATATTATCTGTCATTTCCGTACTATGGTCTTTCCTTTGTTGTTGCTATTGCTATGTGCCATCGAGTTGCTTGTGACTCATGACGACCCTATGTACAACAGCCCTAAACTCCGCTCTGTCCTGTGCCAATCGCACTGTCTCTGACACTCCCATCCCAATTGCCCCAGTCACTGAATCAATCCACCTCATAGAGGGTCTTCCCCTCCTGAGCTGTCCCTCCACCCTCCCAAGCATGACGTCCCTCCCCAGTGATTGGTCCTTCCTTGCACTTTGTCCAAAGTATATCAGATGAAGCTGCAGAATCCTTGCCTCCAAGGTGCAGCCTGGTTTAATGAATCTGTTTTCCTAGTAGTCCATGGTACCCTCAATACTCTTCTCCAGCACCACAGCTCAAAGGCATTAAATCTCCTTCTATCCTCCTTAATCATTGTCCAACTCTCTGATGCATAACAAGTGATTGCAAAAACCATGGCCTGTATCAAATGCACCTTAGTCTCCAGAGAGACACCATTGCTCTTCAGTACTTTGGAGAGGTCCCTAACAGCAGACTTTCCCATGGCAATACATCTTTTAATTTCCTGGCTACTGGTGCCAAGAGTGTTGACTATGGAGCCAAGCAAACTAAAGCTGTGAACAATCTCAATCTCTTCACCATCCATCCTGATGCTGCCAATTGGTCCAGTGGTGAGAATCTTTGTTTTCTTGATAATGAGCCTCAATCCATATTGGAGGCTGCAGTCCTTGACCTTCTGCAGCAAGCGCTTCAGGTACTCCTCAGTTTCAACAAGTAGGGTTGTGTCATCTGCATAGCGCAGATTGTTGATAGATCTTCCACCAATCTTGACCCTACATTTCTCCTCATAGAGCCCAGCCTCCTGGATACTCTGTTCCTTTAGCAGGCCAATATGTTACTAACTACCAACACAATTCAAAACTTATTCAAATCATCTAGCCCTGGTAGCCTCATGGCAAGAAGCTATGTTGTAACCCTGAAAGCACGAAGTTCGAACTCACCAGCTGCTCTGTGGAAGGATGTGCAATCTCGCCCCCACCCCCACCCCCCGGTTAACTACCTCTGAAAACCCTCCGGAGAGTCAGCTATGGGTCTGTTCTAACTCTACAGTAAACAACAACCTTCAGATTAATAGACGAGCATAACCATTTGCTGTTACTCATGGACCGAGGATTCGGGAATATCAAATCGAAAGCAAACTCTTCGCCCTCCAGAACTATTTGTTAGAACCCTATATCGGTTTCTGTATTTCTTCCTCATGATGCCAAGTGAATTCAAACTTCTGATCTTTCCTTTAGCAGTCCAGTATGTTACACCAGGGTTGTATAAAGGGTTAAATATTCACGTAACCACCAGGTAAGACTCAACCCTTCCCTCAATATAGAAGGCTATGGTGGCCGATGAGAGCTTTGGTGGCTTAGTGGCAAAAAGGTGCGCTGCAACCTCAAAGGCACAAGATTCTAATCCATCATCTGCTACACGAGAGGACCGGCAAACTCCTTCCAGATTTACTGCCTCTGGAAACCTGCTGTGGTTCGTTTACAACTTTACACAACATGGTGACCCTTGTCCATCTTTGCGCCTTTGGGTCCTCCAAATGCACTGGGAACACGAAGCGAGCTGCGACCACAGGCAGACTGAAGGACAGAGGGCGCTGGGAAAGCACAGAAACATGAAGGGAGCTGCGATCACAGGAGGAACCAAGGGCGAGGGCGGAGGAACGGGGGGGGGCCCAGGAAGGCCTGTGCCCCGTAACAAAGCCGGGGCTTCTCGTGCTCGCTCGCAGGAACACCTCGGGCACCGCAGGGCTGCGGGAGTTGGGGGAGGAAAGGCAAAGGGAGCCGCGAGCATCCACACGGCCGTGGAGAATGTCACCCACACCGGCCCCAAAGCTTCAACGCCTCCCGGGATGAGCAAGGCCACCTGCATGACAGCCACACCCCCCCCAGCGGCCCCTAATGCGCAGCCGCCCCTACTGCGCAGGCGCAGCGGCGCGGGCCCGCCTGCCGGAAGTACGTCACGGCAGCGACCGGAACTCCGAGGCGCTTCTGCCCTCCCACCGGGCTTCCCGTTGCTCGGTAACCGTCGTCAAGGCCTCGGACTCGCCGTGGTCTCCGCCGGGTGTAGTGCCCGCTGGATGTCCGGGAAGCTCCCGGCCTGACCGCCGCACTTCTTGCCACCCCTGGTCACCCTGTCCCCTGGTCACCTCGCGGAGTCCCTGCCCCCGGCACTGCTTCACGCAGCCTGCCCTGTGCACCGCTGAGCGCACACCTGCCCCGAGGCCCGGCTCCACCGAGGGGCCCGCAGCCTGAGGCCGGACAAGTGCCCCTCGCTGACCCGGCCCGGCTCCCCGGCCATGGGGACCTACACCTACACCAGCCGGCCGCGCGCCCTGCCCTGCCAGCGCCGCCGTTACCGCGACAGCCTGCTGCAGCCGTGAGTGTCCGAGCCGCTGTCCCCATGCCGCCGAGGCTGGCCTCCGCCCCGTGCACGCTCCCGAGAGAAAGTCCGCGGGCGCGCGCTCGCGGGAGAGGGGCGCGGCCCGTGCACGCTCCCGAGAAAGTCCGCGGGGGGGGAGTGCGCGCTCCCGAGAGAAAGTCCACGGGGCCGACTTGGTGCTGCTCGTGGTCAGTGGCGGCCGGCTGGGTGCCACGCCCCTCACCAGAGCCCGTTCTGGTCACACGTGTTCCTTTTAAGAGCTCTGGTGGCCTCGTAAACCCTGCTGCCATCCCAGAGGCACAGGGTTCAAAGCGCAGAGCTGCTCCACGGAGGCGCATGGCCAGTCTCTTCCCCTGTGACCTAGGACCCCTGAACACCCGCTTGAGAGGCTGCAGTGGGTCTCTTCCCATTCAACAGCACACAGAGCTGCGCTGCCAACTCCAAGTCAGGGGGTTCGAATCCACCAGCTACTCCTTGGGAGAAGGGTGGGCAGTCTCCTGTGTGCCTCTGAAAACCTGCAGGTCAGCTAGGACTCCATGGCACACAGCAACATGTTTACTGGTGCTTTTTAGTAGCATGTCAATTTTCAAATTAAGTGTGAGATGTTGTTATGTGTCGTCGAGTCATTGCGACTCATAGCGACCCCTCTGTACAATAGCCCTAAATCCTACTGTATCATGTGCCAGTCTCACTGTCTCCAACACACCCACCCCGATTACCCCAGTCACTGAATCAATCCACCTCATAGAGGGCCTTCCTCTCCTGCGTTGTCCCTCCACCCTCCCAAGCATGACGTCCCTCCCCAGTGATTGGTCCTTCCTTGCACTTTGTCCAAAGTATATCAGATGAAGCTGCAGAATCCTTGCCTCCAAGGTGCAGCCTGGTTTAATCTTCTCCAGGACAAACCTCTTCATTTTCTTAGCAGTCCATGGTATATTCAATAATCTTCTCCAACACCACAACTCAATGGCATCAATTCTCCTTCTATCCTTCCTAGTCAACAAGTGATTGCAAAGACCATGACCTGTATCAGGTGCACCTTAGTCTCCAGAGTGACACTGTTGCTGTTCAGTACTTTGGAGAGGTCCCTAACAGCAGACTTTCCCATTACATTATGTCTTTTAATTTCCTGGCTGCTGGTGCCAAGAGTGTTGACTGTGGAGTCAAGCAAACTAAAGCTGTGAACAATCTCAATCTCTTCACCATCCATCCTGATGCTGCCAATTGGTCCAGTGGTGAGAATCTTTGTTTTCTTGATATTGAGCCTCAATCCATATTGAAGGCTGCAGTCCTTGACCCTCTGCAGCAAGCACTTCAGGTCCTCCTCAGTTTCAGCAAGCAGGGTTGTGTCATCTACATAATGCAGATTGTTGATGAATCTTCCTCCAATCCTGATGCCACATTTCTCCACTTAGAGCCCAGCCTCCTGGATAATCTGTTCTGCATATAGGTTGAAAAGTTATGGAGACAGGACACATTCCTGGTGTATACCCTTTCCAGTTTTGAACCAGTGTTTCCTTTCTCTGTTCTGAAAACTGTCTCTGTTCTGAAAATGGTCCAAGTATAGGTTTCGCATAAGCACGATCAGGTGTTCTGGAATTCTCATTCTTTTCAAAGTCAGCCACAGTTTGTTATGACCCACACAAATGCCTTTGCATAATCAGTAAAGCATAGATACACGTTCCTCTGGTACTCTCTGCTTTTTGCGAAGATTCATCTAACATTGACTACAATATCCCTAGTACCATGATCCCTTCTAAACCCAGCCTGCACTTCAGGCAGTTCTCTGCTGATGTGCTGTTCCAGTCATTTTGGGATGATCTTCAGCAGCACCTTGCTTACATGTGATATCAGTGGTATTGTTCGATAATTTTCAAGTGTGTAATAGGATTCTTTATATCACAAAGGGATTCCCTTTATGTCTAGACTCCTTTCAAAACCCTTCCTGGCACCTTCACATACAGTAAAACCTGCGAAAGCAAGAACCTACTTAAAGAAGAAACTTGTCAAAGAAGGAAAACTTAAATATTTTCCACTAATGTTGGGTTCAGATAACAGATGTTGCCCTGGACGTGCTCACCAAGTTGTGCCAAGAAATCTGGAGAACGACCACTTGGCCAACTGACTGGAAGAGATCTATA